AAAATAAGACTACAATTTTTAAACACGGGAACAATTAAGAAAACAGTGATCAATAGTTTCTTTTTCGAGAGCAGTAGGCACACTTATCAGAATCGATATAACTCCAATTTTTTAAGGAACCGCGGACGTTTACGGCCCGAAGGACAATTGACCATAACAGAAAAGTCATCACGATCCAGTTTCCAAAGATTATCAAGATCAAAGTCACTAGTGAGAAAGGGGGACCAAAAACGGTGAAGAATCGGAGAAGCAGATTTTCCCTTAGCAGAGCCTGATAGCATTTCTTAAATTCGGGTTTAGAAAGATTAGATACTGAAAAAGTTAGCTTTACAACAACATTTATTACTCATGGACTCATCTTTCAAGCTCACCAAACTTCCTGCGTGATTTATATCTTTGATGTTTATGACCGCGCACTGACGAGCGAATCATCTATTAAATATACTCTGTCAAAGTCGAGAAGACATCAGTTAACCACGACGCATAGACGTTCGTTTTGAGTCTGGGGTCAAATCAAAGTTCGTCTTTCCTGGATATTTACTTTTTTTATAGACGCTACATTTTTTACTTCAAATCAGTCATTTGATTCCTAGACGGGGATAGCTGATAGACAAACGAAACGAGTGATTTAATCGCTACAAGATGCGCCAATCACTCCAATTCTTGAACAAGAGACCCATTTTGATTATTTGGTATGACGACTGCAGCTTAGTAACTAACTTACATTAGTTATTAGTCACGTCCAGCTGCTAATTCAAGGGAAATAAGATTTAATTCAATTTCAAATAAGCGTTAAAAAAGTTAGTTACCTTGACAAACACAAAGATGTCGGCTGTAATTTTGTTTGACTATAAGATAGGGAACTCTCTTTATTCACTTCTTTAAAGGGTAAAATAAGCGATATGTTTAGATATCAGGTCGAGGTGTTCTTCCTGTATCGCGGCAAATTCTGAACTCATTTAAAGCTTTGTAACCACTTGAAAGAAAATTAAGTTAAAGTTAAGGACAGTCAATCGCTCAGAAGCAACGAACAGAAGCAATAAAACTTAGAGACTACCGAAAGATACACCAGCAACAAACTGGATATAAAGCAATCCCTTGTATCAACTAGAAATTATGTAAAACTCCTTTTTCACTATTAATTCAAATTTCAGAAAATTGATCGAGCTTAAAGAGGACTCTGTAACAAACCGGTAATGGTCACTTTTATTTCAAACGCTTTCTTAACCTTCGTTAAATATATATTTTTCTAATACAAAACATATTCGAAAATAAAACTGGACCAGCTCGTCTATGCTCGTATATGGCGTCAAAGTCAAGCGTGCATTTACCAAGGAAAACAATTTGGAATTGATTATCATAAGGAAAAAATACCCTAACGACTCTCCTAAACTACTCTTTAAAGTTTATCATCCTTCTTATTGCTAAGGACAGACATTAGGGTAAAATGCACGCACATCTTTTCTTTTTTTAATGATATTGTATTTAAGCTTGGTGGCACGAAATAATCTTTTAAAAACATATGGAAAATTTTTCCACCGCCTTTCCTTTATATGCCTATTTTTATATTAAAAAAAAATAATAAAAACCAACAACTATCGACAAACGTCGAGCACATATTTGAGCTACTCCTTTGTTCTTATCCGATGAGCGTTGTCGCCACTTTATCGGTCAGCTTTGAAAGTGTTAGTCAAGTACAACTCAAGGAGGATCTAACTCCATGGACAGCAAAGTGCCTGTCTGATTGTCTGCTTCACTGCTTGTATTACTTCAATTATCTTCCAGCAGTAAAGGCTCCTCAAGTGACTGCAATTTGCAAATCGACATTCTATCATCTTCGTAAAATTAGTATCATTCGGCAGGGGTGTAGCCAGGATTTTTCAAAGGGGGGGTCACAGAGGCTACTCACCATTTACACCGCTGCTCTCCCGCGTGTATCAGCGGGCTCAGTCGTATTATCGTGGCATGAAGGCCCATATTAACTAAATACAAGAGCCGTTGACGAAAGTACTTTACAAAAAAAACAAATTTTAAAATAATGGGCTTTTCAACAATGGCTTTTATGGCCAAGATAATGTCATGGCGTTTTCGCCACCTGAATATAGTAGGTTGTTTGTTCTAAAGAAGGCCTACCAATGGGGAGTCACGGGCACCCCAGGAGCCCCCCTGGCTACGCCCTTTTTCGTAGATATCTCACCGCTGATGCAGCCCAGCTTCTTGTTCATACCCTAGTCACATCAAAACTTGATTACTGCAACTCGCTCAGTATTACATGATTTACCTAAGTATCTGATTAAACAGCTTCAGCGTGTTCAGAATGCAGCTGCTCGTGTTGTTACTGTTTCACCAAAGTTTTGCCATATTACACCTGTTCTCAAAAAACTCCGTTGGCTTCCGATTGATCTCCGAATTGAATTTAAAATACTCACTATTACCTACAAGGCTCTTCATGGTCTCGCTCCGACTTACATTAAAGACCTTCTCAAAAACTATCAACCACCACGCAACCTTAGGTCTTCAACGAAGAATCTACTTGTCGTCCCTGCCTTCCACACAGATAGTTATGGCCGTCGTGCTTTTTCTGTTGTCGCACCGCTTCTCTGGAACAGTCTTCCTCGGCATGTTAGGGATGCCGGATCACTTGATATTTTTAAAAGACGGCTTAAAACTGCTCTTTTTACACGTGCTTTTTAAATTCATGAAATGATCTTGGTGTCTTATAATCTTAACTAACTAATTTTAATTATTTTAAACTATTTTTGAAATGTGACTTTGTAAATAGCGCCTTTGGACCCATGGAAAAGGGCGCTCTATAAATGTCTTATTATTAAAGGAACGGATTTAACGTCGAGTTAAAATAAACCAAGACAACTGTTACTTCCCGTATCACGAAAGAGTGCAATGAATATGTTTTGCTATGGGTGATCGCAATGAGGTGTGGCAAATAACAAAACAGTTAATGCTAACCGCACCCACAGTGCAGTGTTCACCAGCTTTTTGTACAGTGCGAAGTTCAATGCAGTCGGTCGCCTCGGCTGTTGTTTAACATGATCTTGTACTTTAGCATGATGATGACAAAGAGCAGGGAGAAACTTCGGTTAAGAGGCGACAAGGAAAGATGGTGTAACTATACGGCCATACAACTAGTTATACGGTGATCTAATGGGTAGCATAAAGCAGCAACAGTGGATCCCCAAAAGGCAGCTGTGTCATATATGTGCGGTTATAAGTTACAATTAGTCTATATCTCAGCCCAAACAACAGAGCGAGAGTTCTGACCACGCCAATGGCAGCCACTGTCGACAGGCACTCCATATAATCCATAGCCTGCGATGTATGCCGCGTTAAATCGCTAGTTATAACATGCGTTCGACAATCGGCTTGGTTATCTTAAGTTTGTTTGTGACAGGTTGCGTTTAATTTCTTTGTTCGAGTATGCTCGTAGAGAGTGAGTCGGAGAGTAAGACCATCCAATTTTCCCAAAACTCAAAACTGCCCTCAGTTCTCCGTCGTGTGCCCCCTGTCGTGTGCCCCCTGTTGTGTGCCCCCTGTCGTGTGCCCCCTGTCGTGTGCCCCCTGTCAGCCAATTGTTAATGAAATCAAGCTATGTGCAACCACTGTTTCTGCAATAATGGTCTGATTTTCCGTTGGATGATCGAAGATGTCGGTGGCATGGACTACAAAGCATGGTTTCAGCTTCGATTGTGTTGCCGACTTCGAAAGATTGGGATGTTCCATTTCGAGAAGAACAGCATCCATAGTAGGGCATGGAGAAAGATTTCTGGGTTGTTTCTTTCTTGAGACAGGATTCCTCTATGGTTATTGCGTGATGATATCAATACTAGAAGCAACTACTGATTGATGTAACCTGAACATTTATTAATCAGATTCACAATACTATTAAATGAAGTTTAAGTTTAAAATGCCAGACTAGGGATATAGCTTCTCGTTTCGGCAAAATGAGAAAAATACGGAATCGCATAACAAAGGCAAAATGCCCATAGTTGGGAGAGACGAAAAAATAGTTTTTAGAAGCAAGACTGATGAAGATCTGAATGAGTGGATAATACAGCACACGAAGCAAAACCAAAGCATGCAACTTGAAACGGTGCTATCTTTCATTGGCTCTCTCTTAGAAGCCATTTAAAGCAAAAGATTATACAAAAGTTTATGACCTTTTGATAAAAAAAATAAAAATGAAACGTCTTTCTGGCAGTTTACATTTTATTGAATAATAAAACTGATCGTTATGACGAATGGCCACTGACGTAGATTGTTACATTTTTACCTCTATCGTTTGTAATTACAAGCCGATGAAATCGAAGAGAAATAGTCTCTCTGGAGAGTCTCGCCCAGTAGGTTCTTCATGGAGTCACTTCTAGTTGTATGCTTGTATAATTTCCCATCTTTCCCCCAATCAATATACCTGCATTTAAAAAAATGAAAGGATACGGTTACTATAAAATTTACCCGAAAACAATCCTTTCACTTCCCCTGTCACGTCAATGACTGTGGCATTATACGTGCCTGATAACCAACAAAAGTTAGTGGAGGCAAGACCTCTACTTCACCGTTTTTCTGTTTGATATGCTGTTTTTGTAGGCTCCGTTCATTTACTTCCAAAATAAATTGCAGAGGTTATCTTGCAGACCTCCTTTATCGAGGTTGTTGGTGAATAAAGGAGTTTCCGGCAACTCTATGATCATGAATTGTTTCATTTATTTCAACATGAATGTTGCGTTTCGTGTTCAGACAGGTCTAAGAGTCTTCACAATATACCGACATAATTAACTGGAGATAAAGAAAAGAATATCATCAATATCTATGGCGGTAGCGAACTGCGAACTCAACCTCAAGACCATTAAATTCAAGAAGAATTCTATCATGAGAGGTCACACGCTATAAATTGGAAGATCGTTCAAAATAAGATGAAATGGATCTGACATAAACATATCCATGTTCGTGCCCGAATAATACAAATAAGTTTAGGTACTCTGTGTCTTCTTCAATGAAAAGGGTGATTTGGCGAGTTGACGAGCAATTTCTATCAACGTCCTTTATTCTCGGAAGTTGCATTAAATGTCCCAATAATATGATTCTGAACCAGTTTATAATTTTTTGACAGTTCAAAAACAGGGTAACCGTGTCCAACGAAAGTGATCTTAAAAGTAGTTAATATTTTTATTTAGAATTTCATTATCATTGTTTTCACTTTTTGTTTTTTATTTGTTTGTTTTTTAATCTAGTCTTACGCATCCGGAGTAGAGTTTTTCACTAAATAAGGTCATATCACGGCCGAGCAACAATTATGTCGTCGAATCTTGTCTGTTCTGCATGAGTAAGTCATTCAGTTCCGCTGCCAAGTGTGTTTCCTTTTCACCTTTCTCGCCTATTTTCTTCGCTAATTAAAAACAATTAGTTTTGCAGTGATTATGTCACTTGAATTTGCGTCAATTCATACCAAAGTTGATAACAAAAATATATCACTAGGTCAACCTAAAATATTTTCAATATCAAGTTACAGATTCTACATATCCTCCTGGGATATAATTTGTCTAAGCTGACGAATTATTTTAAATTGAATTTCAACCGCCAGTAAGTATTAAATCATTTAGCCCCATGCCTGTGCGAGCTTCGTGATTTTGTTCTGTTTATGGTAGAATATAATTTAACAGCTGTGTATAACTTTGTTGAGACTGGTATTGACAGCATCCCTATTCTGTATTTAATGTCAAGCTTTTTGCTTTTTTCGTTTTCTTATCTTCATGATGCCTCGGAGATCGATTTTCGAACCGCATAAAGTATTTTAATTGATCTATTCACTATTCTGACTGTCATTTGGAACGATGTATGATTGTGTCAATGCTCTGCAACGGTATTGTTCTATATAGATTTTTGTGTAAACATTAGTTTTATAAATGGCCCCTTCCTGCACCATATTGAATTTCCCCGCAACATTTCATTAAGATTTCATGAAAATTAATGGATTTAACGAACGTAATTAAGTTTTCAGCTCGTAATCAGGCAGTTAGCGTGGTCTGGCGGTTAGTTCATTTGCATAGTGTTCGCAACAGGGTTTTGGTTCCGCTACGCTTGTGTTGTGATCACTCATCTCGAAATAAATATAACAAGTCCGATGGAGTAATTTCTAGCGATCAACATAGGAAAGTTTCGTGGAGACTTGAGGCTGCTTGTTTCTTCGAACTTACTTTCAGGTAGGTCTTACACGACGAAGTATACTCTACCGGCAAAGTATTCATCTTAAAAGAGTAAGATGTAACCTGTGGTAAAGAAAACTTTGTTACCTGTTAAATTTCTGTTAACCTGTGATGTAGTCTAAACTCGGCTGTCACGTTTCACTTATACTTACAAGAACCAAAATTTCAGATCTTGGAAGGAAACTGATGTTGGTGCAGGATGTACCTGTGGATAGACGCAGCAGGCTGGGGCAACTTGTATTTAATCGCCTTCAAAAACCACCGTTTGCGTGAGTGCTGTGGTGCATGAACCCATTGCTGTAATTCGCTTGGCAGCACTCACGCAATGGAGTCACAGTTACAACGATTTAATTCCTCTTATCTTTCAAGGTGATTAAGAATCGAGTTGTTATTTTTCTCTAAGGTTCTTCTCCAACTGAATATTACCATGACTGACTCAAACAGTACAGTTTATGAAGTTTGGTCGACAAACGGCAGTGAGTTTATCGTCGCCCTGATTTTACTAGGTAAGAGACGGTATCCAAGCAATATGTGTTGCTAACAGTGTTCATACTTAGCTCTCAATGTAAAACTAATTATCACCACTGAAACATTACTATTTCCTTGGTGATTCCGCTAGATTCTACAATGAAAACTGGATATAAGCTAGTTTCAAAATAAACCTAGATGAATTTGTGTTCACGTATTCCAAATATTTTCAGCAAAAATCGAATACTTTTACTTCCGCTGATTGACGACAATGTGACGTCCGAAACCAAAGACATACTGTTTCACAAATACCTATTTCACCTTAACGAGAATAGTCTTTTTAAGGAAATTTTATTAATTTGCGAAGCCATCTGCAGGTTTCTGCCTGCCGGGGAGGGTAGGTAGGCTATTGTCCGAAAAAAAATCCGAATAAACTAAGCGAACTATAACCCTGCTAGTTAAACTTTGATTGAAAAAGATTAACTCCTTATATCTCACTGTTTTTAAGATAAAATCTTTATATCCCTACTGGGGAAATAACCTTTGGCAATATTCAGAGGTTTATAACATTTCATAAAACATTAATGAATTCTGACGCAGGTTTCCTTTTAAGTATGTAAAAGCGGATCAAGGTGTAAACATTTCGGCTCCGCTTCGATTTTAGACTTAGATTTAGTGACATTCAAGTGGTAGAGAGCTGCTTAACGTGCAGGAACTAAAGGCTTACCAAACAAGAACAGCAACACCTCCCAGAAAGGCTTAGGATAAATTTTCCATGTGTGTATTGTTTAGCCACCTCTCATCGAGGTGATCCTTTCAGCGTAAAAAAAATATAAGAAAAACCTGATAAAACCCATTCTTAGTGTTTATACCTGTTACGCGCCGAGTTTGAGATCCGCACCGTAAACTAAAGACCGAGTTTTTCCAATTTGACAAGTGGCCTCAGCGCGATAAGTATCCTAAAATTGTACTTCAGACCAGGAAAAAATGATCAGCAAGATACTTATCACATCTCTTTGGTGTGTCTCACTTTGTTTGTCGGGCCGAAGACTCTTCCAAACGTCCAAAGGCCTAACTTGAAGTCAGCAATCACTTTTCAGCCGTTATTCGCGTTGATTTCACGCGAATCGAGGGATCATGAAAACGAATCCTTATTTCTTAACTCTATCTGTCTTCCTTTTGAACCCCAAAAGATCTCCGGACTTCGTTATATACATTAATAACCTCATTTACTTTATGCTGTCGGTAGGTTATAATGTCTTTACATCTTTTAATGATCTCGTTAACTTCGATGAAGATATTAAGTTTATGAATTTGGAAGTAACGTTCTTTAATTTTAACAGGGCCGTTCAATTCGTTAACGACGTCGTCAGGTAAACAACGGCGTTAATTCCATTACCAGTTTGTAAATGATGTCAACAACCCATAGTACGTCATAAAGTTTATGACCCCGTTAATTTATTCTTGGATTCATTTATTCTTAAGTCGTTCCGTTTAGGTTTTTGTTAGTAACATTTTTAACTGTAGCTTTCATTTGAAGTTCAAAGTAACTATTGTTTAAATTCTGTTTCTCGAAATAGCATGGAAAGTTAATTAATATTTCATAACAGTATGGTAACAATGGGAACTCTGTCTGCTTTTTTCCCGTATATCCACTCTCTCAAATGTCAAAATGGATTGACAAAAGAGATGAATCCTTGTCTTAACAAGAAATGATCAATTGTAACTCCTGCGGTTCACAGCATTATTTGACTGCTGTTGCTATGGAGCATAATGTAGTCGATTTAACTATAGTGCTAGAAAATTTCCTTCAACACGTTGATTTTATAGTGTATTATGCCAATAGTTGTTGAGATCTGTTGACGGAAGCCTATTCTAAGATAGTGAAACAGTTTGGCAGACTCAGTCGTTAAAATAAGTTAGTATTGCAGGTTAGGCTCAGTTAGTCTCAGTCAACGGGATCGTTGACATCATCATTCCTTGTTACCTGTTTGTGATGCGATGGTCAGAGCGTCAGTCACTCCTTAACGGGACAGGATCAAACAACTTGAGCGACTGAAACCCCATTTGCTGTGACGCGCGCAATTTTTGTTTCCACGTCTTAATGAATAATCCACTCCTTTTCTTTTTTTTCGTAAAGGATCCATCTCTCTGGTTGGTTTGTTCGGTAACTCTATTGTTGCTTCTGTAATCGTTTCAAGTCGACGACGTGGTCAGCGGTCAGCCGTCCAGTTGTTTCTCTTTCACCTGGCGATTTCAGACTTGCTAGTGTGTATAGTCTGCATACCGCTGACCATATGGATCAATTTCTACTATCCAAAACAGGACAAACGAGGAGCTGGTGCGGCGTGTAAGATAGCACGATATATCCAGGTTAGAACATTTGCACAGTTTAGCTTGTTGCACAAGCATTCATTTACCAGATCAATGGAGAAATCCCATTAAGTGACCCATCAATTGCGCAAATAAGCAAGATTATTGTTTCGCATTTCATTTGGTCTGGTATGGTCTCAGAAGTTGAACATAATGCGAAAAGTATAACTCCACAGAAGTACTGAGTGTTCAAATATTTTATGCTAATGAAGTTGCCTGCAAAATTTGAAGTTTTGCTAGAAGAATTATTTTTTATGTTTTGTCCACTTTGTAATTTGATATCAATCAGCTGCTTATCCCATAGAGAAAACTGAATTTAAACCACAACAGACAGTCTGGCAACAAGAGCATCTTGTGAAAGACCATTTCAAAAACACAAAACAATTCAATACAATAATATTATTAACCAGCCATAAAGAAAAGGATTAGATAGACTTTCTCTACTTGACATTTCTATAGAATTTTACGATTATAGCAGTAATAGAAAGAAAAATTTGGTATCTTAAAACTGAATTTGATTCACAGTACTTTCATTCCATACTCTTCTAAAAAGATGTACCTAGCTAGTTTGCGCGTTTGTTTCTTTTAGTTTCTGGCGCCATCCAGCTCCATCTGTTTACTAACTGTTATTAGCATTGATCGTTACTACTCTCTGGTTCGTCCATTACAAGCGATGAAGGCGTGGCTTCGCCCTAAAGTTCTGATCACTGCCGGATGGATCTATGGAGGAGGGATATTCCTACCCACGTTTTACTTCGCTGACACCGAGAATATCCAATCAGGAGACGAAACATTTTGGTATTGCCGTACCATTCCTAACAACACAACAGCTGGCTTCATTTACCTATTGTTCCTTTCCGTCTTTGGATTCGGTATTCAGTTGATCACCATAATTGTGTTATACAGTCGCGTGGGAAAGGCAGTGTGGAGCCGAGAAAGAAAAATCTCTCGCACTGGAACACTGTCCACGGCTGCCACAGAATCGCTGGACAAAACAAGAAAACGCGTTACAAAGATGCTTTTAACTGTTGTTATATGCTTCCTCCTCTGTTGGGCTCCATTTGTCATATACACTGGCTTCATTGAGAGATCAGTTGCTCCATTCCCTAATCCAGCCGATACTGTTCGAGTGATTACCTATGGCTTCGGGCAATTCAATTCAGTCTGCAATCCATTCATCTACTTTTTTAACAGCCCAAATTTTCGAAGAGTTTCTTTACGCAAAGTCTGTTTGGAGGTCATAGATACCATTGGACAGGATGACAACAGGGCCAGCCGCTCGACAGGGAGCTCAGACGAGACATGTCAAACAGACACGGTTGTGAGGCCTACTGAAGAGAAAAGCTCACAACAGAACGGCATCGACAACCATGCACGTCATAACGAGACTCGCGATACCAGACTTTAAAACATGGGCTTATTCGCTATCTGTGAGAAGATCTGACTTGTATGGTAAGCTGGGAAATACGGCTTTCCAGCAGCAAAGAGTTGAGACAGTAATGAAATTAACTACATATTTAGAGGCTTTCTAGAAACCTGATGGTGCGTGTTTCAATTATATATTATTGATATTCAAGTAGGTTCTCAGGTGATTACATAAATGCGCTCTTTCGGTCGTAATCATTACTTATTTTCCAAAACGGAGAAGGAGCAAATGAAAATATATGAATAGCTTTCGTTATGATATTTATTTGAGTAATTATACTAGCCCAAAGATTGTCCTCAGAGTCAATGAATTCTGTCGTATCAATCAATTATCAATCAATTATCTTTACCTTAATGGTTACTGAATTTCGCACAACAGAATAAAATGTTGTCAATCAGTAATTAAATCCCTTGAAATTCACCATAATTTATTATTTTTAAACTTTATACTCAGTTCATGCTAACAGATCGCTTTTATGGAAATTGCGAATGTAAGAAATATAACAAGCTTCATTGTAAAACAGTTGAGAAACGTCAGAGTTATTCCCTAAGATGCTGTGGAAGTCATATAAAATGTCCAAGTCCAGAAAACACGAGATTCGTTAGCACAGCGATGAGCGGCCAGTTGGAAAATATAGACTGGACTCTGGACTGGACTCTGGACTGGACTCTGGACTGGACTCTGGACTGGACTCTGGACTGGACTCTGGACTGGACTCTGGTGGACTTTACTTTTTTGTTAAATTGTATTAATATTAAATGGAGTTAATATTTTGCTAATTATTTTAAATTTTTTTAAAAAATGAAAATTGATCTAAAAAATTATCCGAACGCTCCTCTGCGAAAGCGCGTGGCTCGCGCGATATAAATTTTGCTCTGCGTGCAGCATGCTGGTGAGTGAAATATGCTTTGTTTCCAAGCTTGCAAAGTGTTGACAGATTCAAAACACGGAATAACGAGTTACAATACCTTGTATGAA